TATTGGGTGAAATTATAAATAATAACTGCCTCGCTTGTGCAGTGGTTAGCAGGTACGGCTGCTATCGGGAGGTCTTTAGTTCAAGTTCCAGGTTGAGCTAAGTTACTTATTGAGTCTTCGTTTTAAGATTTTTTCTTTTGAGATTTTTATTAGGTATATGTATAGATACTGTTTACATATTTAAGATCTGTTTTTGTAAATATTGCCTGAAATAAATGGTTAAATAAAAAAAATAGATATATTTACCTACTTTAAAATTACTAAATAAGCATTATTCAACAAAATAACATATTGTTACACGAAATAATGCAAGTAATGTTCATACAATTTCCACTTTACTGTATGTCTTAAAACAACTGTAATACAAAATATACTCTGTCAATGTCAATTATATTTGACTTTCAAAATGCTCGTGACTGACTGCGTTAAATCATCAGCAGAACCAAAAATGGTTTATATATTTAGTTCTTGTTATACTCGCCTTTTATTTTTACTTTTTTTAATTGTAAGGTACCTTCTTTGTCGCCGTTTGTCTTTCCTTACAAATTATTTTATGTATACATATAATAAAATTCTAACTGAGCCGAATCTGTACATTAAATTTTTTTTGAAAATCTAATTGAAATAGTCATTATTATCGATTCAGAGGCCGAATTTATAGTATTTAGAATTTTTGTTTGTCTGTCTGTCTATCTGTGACTGCATCACGAGAAAACCACTGGACCGATTTTGATGAAATTTGCTATTTTAATAGCTGGTTATCCGGGTCAACATACTCGTATAAGATTCCTTTTACTGCGGAAAAATATCTCATCTCTAAGCAATCTATACTAAACGTTAAAACCTAAACAGGCACGAACCCGAGCGGAGTGAGAGTGAGTCGCTACTTCCTAGTAATCTAATAAAATTAGTAGAAATATATAAAATGACTTTTAAGTTTCAGTACCATATAATTTACTAAAATATCAAAACTTAATTGAAAATGATTCATTTTTTTTCTATAACGGTATAAGATTAGGATTAAGCCTATATGGTAGTATGACCCAAATACACTTGTTATTTTATATGAGGAACGTACTATAAAGAAGAATGGGTTGTCGATAAATAATATCTTTCAATAAAGCTGAACCCACGTGCGTATAATGTAATGATATAATTTAGGTGCAAGTGTTTATATCCATACAAATGTTATAAACTAGCGACTCACCCTTGCTTCACTCAGGGCCTCCCTAGGTACGTTTTGATGCATAGTATGGAATAGATTGTTTCCAAAAAAAATTTTCGTGAATTTCTCCGATGTTTTAAGAGGCATATTACATTATGACCGTGATTTTTCAATTTAATGCCCATCTTTGACGTTCTTATTCAGAGAAACTGAAACTCTTCGACAATGTTGACTTATTGTATGGTGGAGAATAGTTATTAATATAGTTCATAGCGGCCACGCTTTTCGCAAGTTTTCATTATTAATTGAAATAAAGCCAAAATTCTGAAGCAAGTTTTTAATAAAATACGCGACGGTACTTTTTCAAGCAAACGAAATGAAAAATATATAATAATATCTCGTATATAATGGTTGAGTTTATAGTGGCCTCGGACTTTGAAAATATGTATAGAATTTCTACCAAAAAAACAACCTTTTCAAAATCTTAAAAACTACTAAAAACGTTCAGAATCAACTATAAATATATCCCTACAATATTAATAGTATTAAGTAAAATTTATACCAGAATATACGTCGGTTCAAACGAAACGTAATTAAATCCTTTTTTTTATAATTTATTATAAAAAAATTACATAGAAGTAACTACAACTGCAGAAAATGCTAGAAACCGATGCGTCGTCCGCTCGAACTCAATGCCATAGAAAGCAGTATATTGTGTGATAGGCCTCTTAATAGTTATTCTACTATTAGGGCTGAAGACAAATCCAATAAAACGAAGATCATAAAAATCGGTCCAGCCGTTCTGGAGTTATAAGTGTTGTAACAAACTCGAATTTGTTTTATGTATAGATATGAAACTCCGTCTGTCCGTTTAAAATTTAAACCCTGAACAGATTTCGATAAAATTCGGCAAGGACATAGATGTCATCCTGGGATAGGATATAGGCTACCTTTGATCCTGTCCTGCTTTTCACGCGAGCGAAGCTGTGGGCAAAAACTCGTACAATATAAAAGCTCGTTAGTTAAGCTAAGTAGGTAGCTTATTTGCTTCTATACCTTCAGTGTTTGGGTTCAAGCATCGGTTGAGGTCAAAATCGATATTAGTACTCTCTGTCTACAATATGCTACCAGCAGCCAGAAGCTTAGACGTTGTAAGTTATACTATGAAGCCTCGGAGAACAAATAAAGTAGTTATACGAATACCTTCGCAAGAGGCTACTCCTCCAATCTTGCCTCGCTGTCATCAAGATGTTTAAGAACCATGACAAAGTATTAACTCTCTATTGAGAATCTCCTGTAAACTCTTCTCAACGACCTTTCCTAATTCATAAAACTAAATATTTGCCTCGTTCAAAATAACAACGACTAATAATATAAAGCTTTTGCGTTTATTTTATTAGAATTAGAAACTTTATACTGAACTTAACGTAAAATAAAAATAATTATATAAAATTATTTTTCGTGGATTTATTTTAATTTTTAGATCCCGACGTTTCAAATGCTTAAAAAAAAGAAAAGAAGAATCCGTAGAAAGTATTATTATAAATATTTTTGTCAACATATCGGTCAGATAATATAAATAATTAAAAAAAAACCCTAAAAATTGTAACAGTAACTATATAATTTTCATCTTTCAAAGCCGATGGTGTGTAAAGGGAAAGAGAAAATCAGGTCACTGAATACAAGATGCTAATGGGGTATTTGAATTTTAGAGAAAAAACAGATTGAGCGAGTCCAAAATGTCCGAATTATTTAAAAGTTTTATTAGAAATTCCACTTTATATTCGTAGTGAATTCAGTATATTCATGAATCTGATTCACTTACCATAAAAAATGTACCATTTCGCCAAAACCATGGAACAGTGATAGATATAGTCATATAGATGTTGACCATCTTGGTTTATATGATGTATACATCTAGGGTCTATATAAATAAATATAAATGTTCGTATGTCGTGATCCGATGGTGATGAAACCCGGTGGGTTATATGTATATATATATATATATATATATATATATATATATATATATATATATATATAGAGAGAGAGCAAAGTGAGGGTAATGGCTATCGCTAGTGATATACGTATAAAGCTAAAGAAGTTGTTAGTTTGTTTTGTTTTATACATTAGGATATCTCTTCGCAACACGAATTCCTGTGAAATATTAAAAAAAACAATCGAACTTATTTTTTTAGAAGTCGGTTAAAAATGCTCAATATTATTTAAATATTAAATATGTACTTTAAAAGGTCAGTAAACTATAATTTACTAAGGGTGTGTATAATTTAAAGCCTGAAAATGAGGGTCGCTAAGATAAACATTTAGAGTGTTACATAATTAAAATTATGTACACAACGTACATATTATGTTTAAATTATCGTATTATCCCAATAAATTAATTTTATCTATTATGATAGAATTAATTCCAAATTATCTAGGACTAGCATTGCCCGCGGCTCCGCCCGCGTTCAGATGACCAAAAACCAAATTATTAGGTTTTACATATTAGTATACTTACAGTGCAGTTTTTGTATTTTTTCTTAGAAATGAGATATTTTCCCGCGGTAAAAAGTATCCTATATGTTGACCCGGATAACCAGCTATCATCATACCAAATTTCGTCAAAATCTGTCCAATGGTTTTCTCGTGATGCGGTAACAGACAGACAGACAAAAATTCAAAAAGCTATAGATTCGGACTTGGTATCGAAAATAATGTCTATTTCAATAAGATTTAAAAAAATATATTTAATAAACAGATTCGACATAGTTACAATTTTATTATATGTATAGATTTGCAAAATAGTCCGTTTATACGAGTAAATCACGATCAAATAGCTTCTACAGATTATATAAACCGAAGTACGTTTTCACTATTTTAAACAATGTTAAAAAAAACATTTATGCATTAAAAATTAAGGCAATCGTAAAATACTTACAGATAGCGAAATTCAGAAGTTCATATCTTCTTCTATACATATTCTGAGCCGAATCTGTGCATTAAATATTTTTTGGAAAATCTTATTGAAATAGTCATTATTATAGATACAGAGGCCGAATCTATAGTTTTAGAATATATGTTTGCCTGTTTGTCTGGGAACGCATCACGAAAAAACTACTGGACAGATTTTGATGAAATTTGGTATGATGATAGCTGGTTGTGCGGGTCAACATATAGAATACTTTTTACTGTGGGAAAATATCTCATCTCTGAGAAATCTATACTACATGTTAAAACGTAACTAGGGACAAAACCGAGCGGAGCGAGGGTGAGTCGCTAGTGAGATGTATATATATTTATTTTTATTTACAGCTAGATCTAGTTCCTCATTATTCAGTCGTACATTGGTTTTTACACTTTAGGTATGGTAGGTCATTTATATAAAGTTCACTAGTGTTATGCTGCCTTTCTGCGTACATTTCGTATAATTTTTCTCTTTTTTTATATAACTCTGCAGTTGCCCACTCACTAAATACCAATGTATCAGAAACTGTAACCGATTTGGTAGTGAATACCGAATGGTAAAGTTTACTAAAAGATTTAAAGAATTGGTTATACATCTCATTCGCACTTAAATTATTACTTAATAATGGTAAATAAGCAATTGAATGAGTCGGTTTGTAGTTACTGGCACAAAAGAGATTTTCCTTAATTGACCACAATGATCAGAATCTATCTTACTAATAATATTCTTAGAAATTGGTGTAGGTAAAAATGTTGTCTATACAAGTGGCACTAGTGGCAGTTATTCTTGTTGGCTCCATAAACATTTTGGAAAGATTGTGTGATGTAAAAAGGTTAAGTAATTTCATACGGCTAGAGGAGATCTCTATTGTCTTTTTTTGTAGTTTAAAGTACTTCTTTCAGAGTTATACTTAGATAACTTTAGTAGTTCATCCATCTCCAGTTGGTACTCATTTAACATTTTCTCACTACTTTCATACTTTGCAGTAATACTTCTTAAGGAAGTTTGCAACTGGGCTATGTGTAATTCTAATAATTGTGTGTCAGACTCATATCTCTGGTTTTCCAATTCTAATTTACAAACATTAAATTTTGACAATAGTGAACTGTTATTTGGGTTTTCAATTGTAACATCAACCAACTCTGGAGCGTTCTCAACTAACTCTTCGAACAAGCTATGAGTGTGCAGTGCTGTTGCTTGATGGGCACTCTCTTCCAGCTCAGAGATATATTTTTGTGCATCTCGCAGCTCGCACTCCAGTGTGGTGATCCGCTTCAGTGCCTGTTCATACTCCACCGCACACTCATCAAAACTAACTACTATTGATTTTAATCTGTCTCTCTCCTCTGAAAGATCACTATAATCTATATGTAACCGTGTCAATGAAGCTTTTAACTTGTCATTACTTTTTAATATTGTCAATAATTCTTTTTCATTTTCCTCTCTTTCACTATGCAGTTGAGCACACAAATCCTTACTTACTTTTAGTTCCTGTAAAGCCAATTGGAGTTTAGACTCCTCCTGGCGGGCAAATGCTCTACGGGTTGTCATTATAAATCAAATAAAAGGATTCGTGGGGCAAAACAAAAGAGAGGTTAATGTTGATAAATTGCAATTACTAGTACAAGTAAATTAAAGTATTATAAAGCAATATTTAATATAATAACTATTGGAAACACACTATTTTGTTTAAAATAACAACTAAATTTCAAATTTTTCAGCTTAACTGACACTTAACTTATTTCATAAATAAAAACTATTTTACGCACTAATATCACTAATTATTAATAACTAACACTTATCACTACTTATTTTAGTGATTTAATAGGAATATGGCACAAAATACTTAGGAATAATTAATATTTTAACAAATAAATGTAAGACGAGTAAAAACAGCTGTTTACGCCTTAAATATTTTACCCAAGTCCATATATATACAATTCTTCTATACTAATATTTACCTCCGAGCGCTATAGAAATTAATACTCTTTTTTACGTAAACAAAGAACCAAAGCTCAATTAAATAACTTAACAGGTTTTAATAACATATTAAAAAAATCAATATACGTAAGAACTATCGACAGACAGACATACGTACAACACTTTGTTGTTTAAAAACATTGTTTATCAGAAGAAAATCTCTTATTATCACGTCTCTTCACATTGCCTATTTCAAGGTGTCTTAAATAACAATTTCCCCCAAAATTAGACTCAAGATCTATATATTCAGTGGAAGATGTTTCATTTTTGCAGCCTCCGGCAACCAATCCCTTTTAGGGCCCACTCAAACATATTCAATGTCGGTTTTCTTTTTGGTAAAGCTTATTTGACGAGATGATTTCCTTTTCAGTTATATTGGAATAAGTTCGTGTAGTTACGGTGTATTTATGTATAATTATAGTTAATATAGATGATATTAATATTATTTCAAAATACATAAATATAGCTCTATATGTTGTTTTTGCGGTTTTATAATACAAACTAAGAGTTTTGTTTTCGGTGACACGTTTGGCTCAGTTTGTAGTGGCTCTGTGACTCTACTTGCTGTGCCAGCGGTCGCAGATTCGAGCCCGCTGGGGGCATTAATTTGTGTGATGAGCACGCGTTTATCCTCCATTTATGTTTGTTTATATAATATGTATGTATTTAAAGGTATATGTGTGTAATGTATCTGGTATCCAACACAGGTCTCGTAGCTTACCATTGAACTAGATGATGCTGTGTTTTAATTTCTGGACATATTAAGGGTTCGTCTAATGTGTTGTTCTGACGTCAATATTATTATTTTTTGAATAAAATATGTATATAAGTGGTGGATTTTTCTTGACATCAATTTTAATAAATCAGTTATACCTAAAGGCAGGTTTACGTTTTTATTAAAAAACATGAAATGGTCAGAGCTGACGAAAATATCACCTAACGTCAAAAAGCATTCCCTTCCCATAACAAGTACTCCAAACAAAGAAAAGGTAAAAAAATTGATGGAAAAAGAGAAAAAATCAAAGAAAGTTCTAACGAAAACAACAACAGACCCACATATTATATACGAAGCTTCTTAATAACTAAACCATTTATTTGCTTCATACAAAATTTATAATTTAATAAAACAAAACGTCGTTTTTCCTCGAGTACTTTGTAAGATATAATTATTTTATTTATTTAGGCAATGAAGAATTTCATTAAGCGATATAATTTGCTTGGAAGTGGATGAAATTGTAAATTAATTACCTTTTGTTTTCATAAAGTATATTTTGTCAGCCAAAATTACCGGGTAAAAAAAGACTTACTTAAATATATATATATATATATATGTGTGTATATATATATATATGTATATATATATATGTATATATATATATATATATATATAATTAAGCGCTCTATTAAACTTTTCACTAATGGATTTGTATTTAAAATATTTTATTCAGGTAGTGCCACCTTATTAACGTTTAGTATAGATTTCTCAGGGATGAGATATTTTCCAGCAGGAAAAAGTATCGTTTATGTTGACACGGATAACCAGCTATCATCATACCAAATTTCATCAAAATCCCTCCAGTGGTTTTTCCGTGATGCGGTCACAGACAGACAGACAAAAATTCTAAAAACTATAAATTCGGCATCTGTATCGATAATAATGTCTATTTCAATAAGATTTTCCAAAAAATATTTAATGTAGAGATTTACTTTTGGGTTACTTTTGGGTTACCTTTACTTAATGGATTAATATTAAGTATTTTCAATACAATTAAAAAAAAACTCTACTTTAATTACTTACTTGAATACAATTTACTTTGCAATCGCAATCAACTTTAACATAACAAATGAAGTCAATTTAAATAAAAGAAATTCTTTGAATTGACACAGAGATGAGAAAAGTATAAACGACTTCGTATTGCCCTATTTCTTTTTATTTTTAATCATTTTCCTTGACAGCTTAGACCGGAAATTGGGGTATTTAAATGTTTTTAACTAACTTCAAAAAAGCGAGAAGTTGTTAATTTAAATATTTCTATTTACACAACACGTGTTTTATATCGATAAAAAATTATTTTTTTATTTTTATCGATAAATTTATTTGAGTTTTTAATTACTACAAACGGTGGTGATTGATATCAATCTATCTACATATTAAACGTTTAAACAAAAAACATTGATCGATTGTGAATATAAGTCTTAAAACTTGTTTTTATATATTTTTTAAAGTATTTTTTTTTATTATTATTAAATTTAACTGATGTTTGTATTATTTTTTTTAAATTTATTTATAAATTATCACTTTATACATTTAAACCTTTATCAATTATATTTAATATCTTTATTTTATTATTTTATCGTCGTTTCTACAAGTATAGTGTTGGCTCGTACGATAAATTTTTTGAAGTTATTTTTGATTTGTTACGCCAAAGAAGTATATTTATTTAAGTGCGTGCTTAAGTAATTACTTTTTTTTAAATGAATATATACTATAATTTTTGTTAATAAAACTATCTTTTCGGATTATTTCGCGGATTTATTTTGATTTTTGGTTCCCGACGTATACACTTGTTACAGACAGTATACTGCCTTTGAGACGTTTTAGTCTTAGCCTCTCCCGTGACCATGATTGCTGTAAAGCATTCGAAACGTCGGGAACCAAAAATCTAAATAAATCCGCAAATTAATCCGAAAAGATAGTTTTATTTAAAATGTCAAATACTCGCATAAATCTAAGTAAGTATTATAGTTTTTGTTGTTAAGTGTTTGAGTAATATTTGCTCCTACGCCATGGAAATCGAATAGTAGTAAGATAGCGCGTAATATTCACTAGCGAAGTCCCTTTGCTTCATTCACATCAAATTCATCATAATAAAAACGATTTAATATAATATTATATAGGTAAAAAATGGATGCCACTTTTGCAGTCAATAATCTATATATCTAATATATATATAAACGAGCAATTCTTGTATATTTATTTATACCGGCGATCTCGGAAACGGCTGGGGCAAAAGCATCGTGGTCAAGCGGCCAAGGCGCAAGATTGGCAATCACAAGTGCCTGAGTTCGAATCCCGGTAGGATACTAAGTTTTTACTTTTGTATTTTTTTTTGTATTTAAAATTGTACTTTGGCCTAAAACTTCAGGTCGCCTAGATACTCTTTATATAGATACGATGAGAGAGAACAGTTCAGTACCTTTTTCTCCTATGTTTGTTAAACGGCTTTCTTTTTTTGGATTTGGATGTAATATAATAATCTATACAGATAAATAAAACTGAAGTGTCTATTTGTAATGCCAAAATAACAGCTTTTTACTAAATTCATATGAAAGTTTATACGGATTGGCCAAAAGGACAAGAAGATAATTTTATATAATTTGACATTTAAATAGTCGTTGGCTAAGATATAAAAAAAGCTCTACAGTCACTTAACTGAAAGCTTCTTTAGTATAATGAATTATTATTCCAAGGTTTTAATTATATGTTCTTGAGTACAAGAAAATGAATGAAATTGCTTAAATTCTTGTTTATTTTTTGAAGATAAATTCTAAGATGAAATTTTGATTAAATTAAATTTTATTTATATACTAGCATTGCCTACGGCTGTGTCAGTAAAATATCTTGCATTCACATCTCTCATTTGAGCAAAAATTTGAAAAAAAAATTGAGCGACAAATATAGCACTTTCCATATAAAATTAAAGAAGCATTCATACAACCCTAATTCGGTCCCCTCGCAAAATCGTGTAATTTAATTTGCTTTTATATACATGATGGATACTTTCAAGGGAGACTTTCCCATGACTATGGTGAAAGATGTGATAAAATTCAAAAAAATGTTTTATTACAAACTAGCGGCTTGCCATTGCTTTGCTCGGGTGCGTTCCCACATACCTACGTAACCTACGCGTACGTACCTAAGGTACCTACATTTTATATAGATATAAATACAAATGGTAAATAGTATAGTGTTTTGATGTCTTAAGGTTTAGCCAGCGTTTGTCATGTAAATTTCTAAGGACAAGTCAACAGAGATACTGTGTTTTTCTCTATCTAATTTTCAGATTCAAAAATATTACCCAAGATTATTCAAACTACCTCCTACTAAAATACTTAATAATGAACATGCTACTCGATCATTTTTCCAAACTTTTTTTTCGCATTCATGAATGAGTTACGAATGAGTGAGTGAGTAAGTGAGTAAGTAGACTATGATATTTTGTTGAGACTGCTGTGTTCTATTAACATATCTCCATCCGTGGTAGATTGGTTTCGGAGTTACCTCAAAGGCAGACGTCAGCGCGTTCGTATTGAGGAGAATGTATCCTCATGGTGTGACGTCCAGGCTGGGGTACCTCAAGGTGGCGTATTATCTCCTTTACTCTTCGCAATTTTTATTAACTCTATTACTCAACATATTTCATCTTCCTATCACATGTATGCAGACGATATTCAGATTTACCGCCATTCAACACTCGAAAATTTGAGCACTACCATCATCACGATAAATAAATATCTACAAGCAATTTATTACTGGAGCAAACTATACGGCCTTAACATTAATCCTGGAA